CCACTCCCAGATGACTAAGCTTTCAGATCTATGAGGCTGTGGGGCCACTCTCAACCAAAACACCAGAGGTCCCATCAACAAGTCTGAGACCCTCATATACACACTTAGACACATTTCCAGTTTCAAATTCCCAACTGCTTCCATTCAATGACCAGTTTGTGTCAATGTCTAAACAGCCTGTCAAACTTAACGTCCAAACTTGGAAAACTCCTGCAGCCCACAGCTCTGTCATCCAGGATGACGGCAATAGGGGTCTAAAGAGATAGTCGCTAAAGTACCTAATGAACAAGCAAACTGATGGGAATCTGTATCCCCATGTAAAAAAACCAAAGGCACAGCAGCACACACTTGTAACCCTGCTGAGGGCAGAGACAGGGGGACCCTGGAGGCTCTCTGACCAGCTACTCTACCCAAGATAGCAAGCTCCACATTCAAAGAGAGAGCCCACCTCACAAGATGAGGTGGATAAGTTAGATAGAATGGTCTGGACTTGATGGGGACGAGAAGGAGGAGGAGGAGTCCTCACAGGTGGGTGGAAAGGGATGGGAGGTGGAGAGGGGAGAGGAAGTGGATATGATCAAAATGAACTGTACGAAATTCTCAAAGAATTAATAAAAATAGTTTAATGAGGTAAAGTAATTCCAGTGTTCACTTCTGGTCTCTCCACATGCCCACATGGGTGAGCACACATGCGCACATCCGAGTGAGTGTGTGAAGGTGGGAAGGTTTATGTATTTTATAATTTAAAAGGTTATTGCAAATAAAATTCTGCCCTAACAGGGCCTTCAAGGAAGGAAATAACAGATTTGGGTTTTAATAAGCCAATGGTCCAAACTTGCTGTGTAGCATAAGTCCCTAAGTATATGAGGAAGTTGTAGGGAAGGGACCACAGGCTTTTAGCAGGAATGGATTTAGATGCATAACAGATACAACACAGCAGGCACATAGTAGATGCTCAGAGGTTTACTGCCTGGACGAGGAAGAAGTTTTGGTATGGTTTAGATCAACGTTTCTGTGTGTGTGTGTGAGTGTGTGTGTGTGTGTGTGTGTGTGTGTGTGTGTGTGTGTGTGTGAGTGATGCCACTCACTCTGGGTCAACTGGAAAGACACTTGAGTTTTATGACTGTCTCACTAATCCTTCATGTATTTCCCATAAAACTATACTGAACACCAACGCTACACACAATTGCACACGTAATTACACATGGAAGGGGTGGCTGACTTGTTATCCATTCTGGCAAGAAATCCATTCAAACAGATGGCAATTTCCTTAATTAAAAGGATCATTTTGAAAGCCAGGCATGGTGACATACACCTGGAACTGCAGTACTCTGGAGACTGAGGCAGGAGGAGTGACATAAATTTGAGGTTTGCCTTGACTATACAGAATCAGACCAGCCAGGCCTACACAGCAAAGTTTTGTCTCAAAGGGGGAAATAAAAAAGGATGTTTGGAGGACAAAGAAGGTCTCAGTGACATGTTTGCTTTGTAAGCTCAAGGATCTGACTTCAAATCCCAGGACTTATACTAAAACTATAGGGAGATTCTTGATAGACAACAGTATAACAACTCTAACACACACACACACACACACACACACACACAAGGGTGGTGGTGGTGGGGGGAGCAACACTCTTCCCAGTGGCTCAAGCCAAGTCACGCATCCTTGCCTTCTCTTTTCCTCTTCTGCTGTTTCTCTCGTGTTCCTCTCCTGAAAGGGCAGTCTACGAGGACGCATGCCTCCTGGGATTCTCTAACACGGCTAGCACCTCAGTGCACCTGGTAGGACCGCACGCGCCTGCCACTCACCAGGAGAGCTTTATGGGTGCAGCCATGCGAGCCATGCCTAGAGGTAGTCACCTTTCACTTGATTTTCTGTGCTATTTGATAAGTCCTTCTTCGCTCCCAAACATCAGTCTCAAAGAGCTTTGTAACTCCAAAATAAATAACTCATGCAATCCTCATGACTCTAGAAGTTCTGTTATTATCCCTTTACAAAGAGGTTAAATACCTTAGTAGAAAATTCAAACTTGAACAGTCCAGCTCACCATGTTCCGATCATGCAACATACCCCCCCATCCCACCCCTCTGTAAATCTTCTTCCTCTAAGTAGAAACGCATATGTACGAAACTAAGCAACACTCACCTAGCTTTCTGACAGCCAGGATCCACCTCTGCAAAGGTCTTAGCTTGGTGGTTGCACGCGATGTATCTTGTTCCCAGGTAAAAAGGCAACCAAAGGACAAAGGATCAACACCTCTGGTCCTGTGGCCACTGCTGAGACCACCCAAGCTACCCAAATTAGAGACTATGTGACATTAAGTGACACTGATTCTTTGGAACTGTATCTCAAGGCCTGCTCAGGCACAAGGACCATAAAACCCACCAACAGCAGAGCATGCAAACGCCAGGGCCCTTGAGTATGGCGGGTGGCACAGATAGAGGAGTCCCTAAACGTGATGCTAGGGGCTGGCAAGCTGCTACAGCCAGCACTGCCCACTCGTGCCGCAGAGACTGATGAGTGAGTGACTGTCAGACAGTGCCGTATTTACTCAAATAGACTGCCCCCTTCTCAAATGGCTCCCTTCATAAAGGTTAGTTTGTAACAAAAACATTCCGGAAGTGGAGATAGGAAAAAGAAGCTTCAGCTGCCCTGCTATTAATTAACACTGCGAAAATAAGGGCATCTTTCCCCCACAGGGCTCTCCATGGGTGTGCGAGCAGTGGACACACAGCCCACAGACGCTTTGGAGTGCTTTCCCTTTGTTCCCAGATGCCACAGTGGTGACCAAGTGTACAGCTTCCAAACCTAAGGGATTAAAGGTGGATTCCATGCCCAGCTCCCCTCCAGCCTCTGACAAATGAGACACCCACTGCCTCAAGGGGCAGAGAACATAAGACTCCGCAGTGCTGAGAACCTGCCACCTAGAACTCAATGAGTGGGGGCTCCTGGCAGGAACTTTGATCATTTCAGTAACAATCTTCAGGTTTTCACACTCTCCAGTTGTCCATCATGTGAATAGGGAAATGCAGATACAAGGGAAAAATGAGTATTTTCTGTTTGGCAAGAGTGGAGAGATAGGAAAGTGAGCTGCAGTTCTGACAACTCTAGGTTCATTAAAAAAAAGTTACCATGTAAACTGCGGACCACCTAATCCACCGTCTGGCTAGCCTCCGCCCAACCACTTAATCAAGGCATTATCCAAATTGCCAGTCAAGAAAGACAGACAGACAGACAGACAGACAGACTCAGTTCTTAAGCAAACAGTGAAATTAAATCTGTTTTTAATTACAGCGTTTCACTTTTTTTTTTTAAACAATTATGAACCTGGGGAAATGACTCAGTGGATAACAGTAGTTGCCATGCAAGCATGAAGACTGGAGTTCAAATCCCCAGAACCCACGTAAAGGCCTGATGCAAAGCACAAGTGTCTGTTATAATCTCAGCCAGGGTGTGATGGGAGGTGGGGACAGGTGGCGAATCCCTGGGAGCTTGAAGGTCACCTAGTCTGGTATATGCAGGAGAAAAACAACCAAGAGACCCTGTCTCAAAAAAAGTGGAAGGCGAGGGCACCTGAGTTTGACCTCTGACCCTCACACTCACACTGTGGTACAAATACACCTACATTTACACACACAGACAGACTTACCAAGAAGAAGAGGAGAAGGAAGAGGAAGAAAGGGAGAAGGAAGAGGGAGGAGGAAAAGGAGGAGGAGCAGAAGAAGAAAAAGAGGGGCTGCAGAGATGGCTCACTGGTTCAGAACACTGGCTGCTCTTCCAGAGGACCTGGGTTCAATTCCCAACACCCACATAGCAGCTCACAACTGTCTGTAACTCCGGTTCCAGGGGACCTGTCACCCTCACACCTATGCACACGAAATAAAAATTAAAAAAAAAAGAAGAGGAGGAGAGAACAGCAGCAGCCTGAGCAATCTGATACTTTCAAAAGGCAGGCAGCAGAGGACTGTATTAAGTTGGGAATGATTTGGTATCTCCTCCCAAGTTCAAGCAGATTGAAAGTGACTGACAGACCCACTATCCTGGTTGCCATTTGGTTGAAAGACCTCAATGCCATTTTATTCAGACAGTGTATTTGCACAGACCCAAAGCACAAAAATGGCACTTTGCTTCAATAAAAGCCACGGTTAAGCCTGAAAGAAAAGGGTGTAATTATCTAAATTTAAAACTAACGAGACGCTTTAGGCATTAACACTTGAAGACCTCTGTGGTGTATAATGTTAACTGGAGAAATCCTCGCTAGATGGCAAGGCCCTAAGTCCTTAGTGTCACAACCCTTGTGTTGATCTGGGAAGCAACCTCAGCTAGACAGCAGCTAATGTCAGGAGAGGTGGGGTCAGTCAACATGGAAGTGCCAAGGGATTCCTGAATGCCTTTGAACCTCCCGTTTGACCTTTAAGTCATTTTAGAAGTAGAGAGAGACTGACTGACTTGCCACATGACAGTGTTTATGGTGGGGTTAGGCTTTATTTATAAAGAGGTTTAACAGCCTTAGCTTCCAAGTGCTTTCCTACTAATAAAACGAGCATGCTAAGAAGGTCACATCAGAGTCCCATGCTATTCATCTACTGATGAACAATATTCACTGGTTAGGAGGCTATGCATGAGCATTCACAGTAGACGGACAGAGGGCAACTAAGCAAGGAAGAGAAGCCATGAGCTCCAACTTCCCTGCTCTGTCTACTCTCTCATCCCAGATGAAGCGTCTTGTCAGGAGGTCCACGTGAGTCACCGATGCTGAACCACAGTTCACAGCGGTTCATTCTCTATGAAACCCATGCTTTTTGCCTCATGAAATCCTACTTGTACGTCCCTCTCAGAGCACCTGCTCCCTCACAGACCCACACAGCCAGGGCTCTGAATTCCCAGCAGCGGGCACCCTCTTAGCTATTTGTCCACTTACTGTTAGTGGTCTCGCCACTAGCTGATATTAATTTATGCAAATAGTATGCTCCTTCTCTCCCAGAACAGAGGCTGTGCCGGATGACACAGATTCCCAGGAACGCTTTCTAGACTTTTTTTTGTAACCACAAGGACGGTCAGTGTCATCATGTGAGCCACCTTCCAAAGGCTTTACCGGACCATCACAAACATCAGAATCAGTGACCGTCATCTTCTGACCAGTGAAGCCACTCACTGGAGGTGACAAGTTCAGGTTAGTATGAGGCCATCTGGGACACGTGATGAACAAAACATCAAGGGCCTTGAGTTTTCAATTCCGCCCTCTTATTATCTGTTCTCTATCACTATATCCATAGAATTTAGATATTAATAATATGCTACTATTAATCATTACAATTATTAATAATAATAGTATTTTATGTTAGTCATGGCATTTCAGAAAGATAACAATAATACTGTAAATCTAAGTCCTACAACTGTTCAATCTATACATATAAGGATGGGCTATTAGGTTTCTGAAGATTTGACATATTTCTTGGGAATCTGGTTGCCAGATAATGTTATCCAATGGGAGAGTAGCTCTGTCTTAAGCTGCTCAGCTTTTTACTCCTTGTTCTAGTGCGGTTCTCACTCTCAAGGCCAGGGCTTGGTTTAAGGCATCTTTTGAAACTTCGATGGTTTCCTGGAAACCTCAGATGGAGGGGAATGCTCTAATGCCTCCTAAAGTTGGCATGGGGCTTGGCAGCCCAGTGTGCAGGAGGAGAGGAAAACTGCTTGCTTTTCAGAATTACCTGCAGAGGGAAGCAGATAGCCTCAGGTCTCCTGATCAAGAATTACAGTTCTGAGGGCTGGAGAGATGGCTCAATGGCTAAGAGCACTGGCTGCTCTTCCAGAGGACTCGGGTTCAACTTCCAGCACCCACATGGCAGTTCACCCTGTCTGTAACTCCAGTTTCAGGGGAATCTGACACCCTCACACAGATATACATGCAGGCAAAACACCAATGCACACAAAATAGAATATATGCATGTATGTATGCATATATGCATGCATCTGGGTGGTGATGGCACATGCCTTTAATCCTAGCACTTGGAAAGTAGAGGCAAGTGTATCTTCGAGTTCGAGACCAGCATGGTCTACAGAGTGAGTTCTAGGGCAGACAGGGCTACAAAGAGAAATCCTTTCCCGAAAAACCAAATAATGATGATGGTGATGATAATAATTATAGTTCTTACCTCAAAGGAACCCAGAATCCTGGGTGAGTCACCTGTTTCAAATACATACCTGCTAAGTATAATTATCTATCAAATCTTATGCCTTTTCAAATGCCACTCTATATTTTAGCTTTGGCTCACTGTATTTTTTATTTTATATAAACAATATACATTGCTTCTAGAATTTTCTATGCATACCCCATTGAGCCATTTTATGCTCTTCACCTTGAAACACATCTCCTAGGCTGCTAGCCAGCACTCAAAAATTTTTTTCATGTGTGTTCACATGCTGCACATTAGGGTGTTGTGGAATATTAGTTGAAGATGTGGTACTTTTGTTTACTCTGTGAATCACTTGTTTAATGATGCAAAGATGTGCTCCATTCTTTTATGTTGCATTTGTTTAACTCTATGAAGCTGTGTTACTTCGCCTATCTAAAACACCTGATTGTTCTAATAAAGAGCTGAACGGCTAATAGCTAAAGCAGGAGAGAGAGAGGTGGGGCTGGCAGGCAGAGAGAATAAGTAGAAGAATGTGGGAGGGGAAATGAGCAAAAGGAGAGGACTCCAGGGGCCAGCCACCCACCTCCACAGCAAGCCATGGAGTAAGAAGACAGTTATATAGAAAGGTAAAAGCCCGGAGGCAAAGGTAGACAGGATAATTTAAGAAAAGCTGGCTGGCTAGAAATAAGCCGAGTGAAGGCTGGGCACTCATAAGAACAAATAATTCTGCATGTGTTTCTTTGTGAGCTGGGTGATGGGCCCCCAAAGAGTAAAGAATTAAACAAAACAAACAAAAAACCCAACAACCTAAGGGTGTGGCCGCACAATAGCTATGTGGCTCTTAGAGGTCACATTTTTGTTATGTCTGAAGTTGAGAAAAAGAAAGAACAGAAACTCTGGTTTCATTTCCTGTACAAACCAACATGCTTTCTCTTTAACAACCATTTTTCAAACACTCTGTCATTGCAAGAGTGATGAGTCAGCGTTGAGGGAATTGTTGGGACTTGTCCCTCCTATTACAACAAGCCAGATAGTTTTGGGTTGGTTGTTCTTGGATTCCCAGAGGATTATTTATCTTGGGGGAAAGATGGGCTGCAATTTGCAATGACCACACCGTACGGATGTTTAGTCATGAAGGTGACCTCAAATGAGACAAGCAATTTCTTGGTTCGACTATACGAAAATCCAGCCAAAAGTCCACCCAGCGGGCAAGCTCCAGAAGTTAGACTGGAAAGACAAAAGAGTGTGAGGGACTAAGATTGGAATATGTGGGCAGGCCAGGAAGAGAGGTCTGGAGCCAGATGAAAGGGTGTGTACTCAACAGGACGGAGAAGCTGGGCAGAGTTACAAAGGGGTGGGACAAAGCAACCCTTGTACACTTCTACAGTCTCCAGCTCCAAGCTGCTTTGCATTTTCTCACTTGGAGAAGTGCTTGGGACATTTAATATAAACCTGACTGGGCAAGGTAGTAAACACCTGTAACCTCAGTACTTAGGAGGCTGAGGCAGGAGGACTGCTGAGAGTTCAAGGCCAGTCAGTGCTACATAATAGGACTCTGTTAAAAAAAAAAAAGCAATCAGTGCGTAACAACTGGAGGGTCAAAGACTCCTACACACCCTGATGTTCATGGCCTGGGGCCCCTATAGCAGAACTATTGGCTCAAGAATGCTACAAGTTTTCATAGGCCCTCCCATGCAGGTCTTTCCCTCAACCGCATCTTAATTTCTGCAGCTAGCAGTTTTCAGTGTGAGCCGTCCGGGCCAGCAGCATCAGCATCTTCAGACCACTAGGCAGAAAAGCTTACTCTCAGGTCCTACCCTGGCTGATTGACTCAGAAACTCTGGGGTGGGGCTGGGGGCAGAGCTGGCAGTCTATTGACTGCAGCCTTCCAAGAGAAGTTGATGCAGTTAGAGTTTGAGAACCATGTCTTTAGATGATATCGCAAGCTAACGTCAGGATGGGAGAGCATGTGCATTGAAGGAAGATTAGTGAAGACAAGCCCCTCACGTATGAGGGCTTTTCTAGTCCTGGTATTTTGAGACACATGAAAGGGACTTGAGGCCGTTGGGTGGGCTCACAAGCTCACTGATTTCAAACTTCTCCCCACAGTGCTCCTGGAGATTTGTGTTTGGCCTGAAAACTTGACCTTGTTAAAGCCCATCATGAGAAGCTGGGGAGAGGACACAGGAGGTAACAGTGCTTGATCTGCAAGCATGAGGACCTGCTCTCAGGTGTCCAGCGTGCATGTAAAAAGCCTTATAAACCTCAGTGGGGTGGGAGGCAGAGACAAGGGAACTGCAGGGCCCTACTGACCATCAGCCTAACCCCATGTGCATTGAGAGACCCTGACTCAAGAGAATGGGGAGGAGAGGGTAGATAGGATACCCAAATCCATCTGTGTGCACGCACACACATGTGCATATATACCCCCCACACACACACACACACCTGCCTTCAGTGGCTGCATTCTGCCTATAAGATGGAGTCCCAAGTGTCTGCCCCACAACCCAAAATTCTTCACTATCTGCCTCTGGTAACTTCTCTCATCTTGTTTTCTCCCACAGCTTCCCATCTCCACAGCCACGTCTCCTTGTCTGCAGAAAGCTTATACTGTCTCTGACATCACACTTGACCACGTCACTGACCTTGGTCAACAGCATGGAGCTGTATGGACAGACCCCCCCCCCTCCACTTCCCAGCCAACTTTAAGTGTGACAATGTTGTGCCATCTCATGTCTTTGTGTTTGCCATAAATGAAGTCTATACTGTCCTTGGGCAAGGCTGGTTTGTTTTTGTTTTTAGATTATGTGGGATCTAAATGAAGACACACGAGGACTCACCTCGATACGCAGCATCGATGAGCAAGAAGTCTGAGTGACTGTAGAGCAATGGAATTCGGGGTTACTTGTCACTTAGCCCAAGCTGACCACAGCAACACTTGTCATCTTCCCGCCCTGCTTGCAGTGACCTCTCCCCTCTGTTCTATCTTGCTTTCAGTGACCTCACTTCAGCTCCTCCCTCCATCCTCAGCTCAAACAGTGAACTCTCAACCCGGCCCTTTTCTCTAAATGGTCATGCTCACTTTTAGAACCTCCTGTAGATGCCACAGATCTGCAACTGTGTCCCGGGAGCCGTGCTATGGGCTTCCCCTCTAATAGCATTATTATTTTTGTCTATCATACCATCTCTTCACTATTTAACAAAATCACTATCACTCATGAGGAGACCGGCTCAGAGAATCAAAGCGGGGTGCCCAAGTTTCGCAGCCACAGTTAGAGCCAGGGCCCTCGCCAGGTGGGAGTCTGGCTTTGAATTCAGCAATCTTCCCTGTGTCACACACCTCTGTCCCTCCCCAGTTGCAAGCTTTCAGATCCTCCCACTCTACTGGGAAGAAAAAGTTTTCAGCAACAGCTGAAAGCCACACTAATCTCACACTTGCACGATTTGCAGCTAGAAACTTGTACTGCAGGCACTGAGACTACACTTGCTTGCTTTTTCTGTATGGTGTATACATCCTAAGGTAGACAAGGCTCTGGGAACCACAGGAAAACAGGGCTAGTTTGTCTGACCTTTCCCCTCCCAGGTCCAGGCTGCAGGGTTGGGTGGTATGACAGGAGAGGCAGATGGCCACTGAGAACATAGAAGTCTTTAGGGTTTGATTCAGAGGAGGAGGCAGGAGAAGGCTCACAACTCCAACAAGCGATGTGTGTGGTAGCTTAGGTTTAGAAACACCAATAAGCATGTAGTCAAATGCCTATTTGACCCTCAGAACGAACAGCAAAGGGGCGGGAGGGTTCAATGGCAAAGGACTGAACTAGACCACCTGAATCAGACATTCCACCAGCTGCATAAAGTTAGGAACACAAATCTCAGTTTTCTGTCGGCTGCTGGCATTTGGGTATAAAGTTGAAATTTTTCCTAGTGTTTCTGCTTCTCTCTCACACCTTTGAAGACTATAAATCATAAAACACTAAAAGTAATTCCTTCATCACCCCAACAATCAGTCATATGAGAGAGAGAGAGAGAGAGAGAGAGAGAGAGAGAGAGAGAGAGAGAGAGAGAGAGAATTCAACAAAGTACCATGATATTCTTTTCAGAAAAACATTAAAACATTCATGGGGTTACAAAGCACTGATTACGAATTCAAATTTATTTATCTCTCCCATCCTTTCCCCGTAGGATGTATTAATTACCTTTAAGTGATACCATCAGTAACATTAACATTTTTTTCTCCTTGGAGAGTACAAAGCTGCTAAATGCTCCAAATGACTGTTGGGCCAGTTTGGACAGGTCTGATTTACTCTTAAAACAATCATCCACTTCACAATCAACAGTAAGAACCGGCGTTTATTGAATGCTTGGTGCTATGCTTGATATTTTTCAGACACAGGCTCATATAGTCTTGCAAACAATGAGTGCAATCGGTACGTCACTTTGTAGATAAGGAGAGCAAAGTGGGCGCACAGAGCCTGAAGGAGACAGGGAGTGAGTGAGAGGAAGGCAAGAAGGGGCAGTAGCTGCACAAAACCAGAGTTAATGATTCACTTACTGCCCTCAGGCAGCTCCTTTCAACAGAGTCTGTACGGGCGAGCTCGCTCTCTCTCTCTCTCTCTCTCTCTCTCTCTCTCTCTCTCTCTCTCTCTCTCTCTCTCTCTCTCTCTCTCTCTCTCTCTCCCTCTCTCCCTCCCTCCCTCCCTCCCTCCCTCTCCATCCCAGGGAGAGTCCAGTGTCCAGCAACCCCCCCCGCCCTATCTTCAATTCTCCATCCCAACGACAGGCGGTGTCCAGCAAATTGCTTGGCAACACGCGCAGGAAACTCCATCCAAAGCCCGGGGTCCAGGCGGCCCCTGGGCGCTGTCCAGCGGGCAGAACGCCTGAGAGGCCAAGCTGGGGTCTTGCCTCAGAACACCCCGAAGCTGGGGCGCAAAGCCAAGGTCCGGATTTCGAGCGGGGGGGGGGGCGAGGCATCGTCTCCAAGGACACCTGTTGTCGCCTCCCCACTCAGGACAACGAAGCCGCCCTGGCCGACTTGGATCTCAGGGGAAGGCACTGGCTGGCAAGAAGTGCTGTGATGAGTGTGGGGCTCACGGGGGGCTCCCACGAACACCCCGCGGAGGCCGCCTCGCCTCACCCCTCCTAATCGGGCTCCCTGCGGCTGGCGGTACACGGTGGCGCTCGGCGTCGGCTCGGTCCGCGGTGCTCGGGGGATGCACGGCGCTAGGACCTCGCGGCCGGCGCCCCCCGCCGTCCACCTGCGGCGCCTAGGTCGCTCCCCGCCGCGGGTTGTACTCACCGGCGTCGGGGTGAGCAGACTCCCGGCGTCGGCGGAGAGGTCCGCGCCACCACCAGCTCCCCAGCCCAGCCTCCGTCTCGCCGCCGCTCTAGCAGAGCTCCCTCCGGGTCGCCTCGCCACCGCTGCCCGCTCGCGACTCTGGGCTCGCTGGGCGCCCGCCGGCTCCGGGCGCAGCTCCCGCCGCTCCTGATTGGTCGCAGCGTGTGCGAGAGTCGCGCTCTGATTGGACAGGAGGCGTGGGATGGGCGGGGTCACTCCCGGAGCCTAGCTGCCCTGGCCTTGGTTCACCCCCCACACACCTCACCTGGGGCCAGCAGGACTCTGAAAGCGGCTTCAGTCCCTTGGGCACCCAACGGGGTCGGCCGAGCAAGCAGTGTCGCAGGGGCGGCGGGAACTGAGGATCATTATGGAGTCCAGCTACTCCCCTGGGCGTGCTGGTGGTTGCGAACCTCCGCCGTGCTGGGAAAAGTGCTCCTCTGGTGTCTCTCATGCAGGCCACTTTGACTTTACATTTATTTTTCCAAACTTTTTTACTGTAGGGTCTACACCTCAGGACAGATGCCTGTAAAGTAGATGCCAATGAGCGTTTGTGAACTCAAATTGAACTCCACACACAATCTGTCCTACCAGAGCTCACAAAGGGGAAGCGATTTTGTGAACTCAAATTGAACTCCACACACAATCTGTGTATGGTCCTTACCCTACCAGAGCTCACAAAGGGGAAGCGATTTGTCAGAGAGCCCAATACCGTCCATATATTAAGGACATTGTGCTAGTTACTGTCCAGGAAAAGAGCAAGATGGGCTGATGTCACCCACAAGGAACTTAATACCTAGCCGGAGAGATGAGGCTGATTCATAACATAATAATTACCCTAATATTAACATGGTGTATATTATTTGGCAGGCATTCTTCCAAGAACTTTATACACACTTTTATAATCCAGAAATTCAGGAAGAGTCTGCCATAAAGACATCTATATGTGCATGGGCCTCAGGGTTAGAACACATGCGTTCTGAAGATGCCAGAATTTCATCTGAAAGGCAGCAGCAGGGCCTAATTCCTGTGGGAAGAAGAGGGATCATAACTGCTCCCATCATGCATCTCTTCCCTTGTAGTTCTTTAACCCTCTCGACGTTCCCTCCTACCTGTTCTGGAGCTTTCTAAAAACAGGCGGCGTAAATCCACATGTCACTCTTATGTCTGTTCTGCCACCCAGATAGGCAATGGATAAAATCAACTCCATTTTCTGTCGTTTATATTAATGAACAAGTAAACAACACACCATATGCGACCAGTTTTCTCCAAGCATTTCTCTCCTTCTGTGCCTTTAGGCTCACAGAACCCTTAAGAAGTGTGGCTGGTAGAAAAGTGCTTAAAATATACCAGTTTGGATCTAGCTGGACCTACGCTAAACAGTGACTGCATCTATCTCCCCAAGAGAGAATTACCTCCATCTTCTGTCGCTTATATTAATGGATCCCTTTATATTGGAAATGCAGAACCGATGTGGGTCGAACCTCCTTTGGTTGGGAAATGGAGTAAAACAGGATAGAGGTTAGGTGAAGAAAGTGCATTCAGGTGCGGCCCTCTTCAAACCTCAGATACTCAGGGGCACAACTTGTGACTACTGGCTGTTCACTTTTCATGGCCGTGGCTTTTGCCAAGGCAGAAGTCCCATTTAAATTGCTCACACGCTCACTTCAAAGGAGAAACACTTGTTTCTGCCAGAGTTGGAGGCTGACCCAAGATGCTATGTCAAACTGCTCACTTCTGGCTGTTGTGAGTTAACCTCAGCCCGCAAATGACAAGGGAAAGAATGAAGACCATGAAGTCTAGTTGTCTTGTGGGCGAGGCCACTCATACATAGTTCTATACCCTGTCTCATCTAGGAAAAAATGCCTGACTGAGCTCTGGCATTTCTTCTCTCCTGGCTGGCACTTAGCCCTTAAGGCTGAATTAAAATGTTCCCTCTAGTGTGAGGCCTTCACCAGGGCTCTCAAGCACACAGAAACAGTGCTCTATCCATTCTTCACAATCTTCTTCAACTGTATTGCGTTGCTGCCCCCACATAGCCCCGCTGCCTAGCTTGCTATCTGTAAACAGGAATGAGACTGAAGTTTCCAACAGGTTAATGAAGTGCTAACCGCATCCCTATCTTAAATTTCAACAGGGTATCCTCCAGTTCCTGAATGAGTGGATGCTGACTTAAAGTTAGCAGCCATTCAATCCAACTGTAAAGGAGTAGTTTCTGTATGTTGGACGCTGTTAAGAGAAAAACGATAGCCTTGTTTTGTGTACACAAGGTGAAGTGAGATTAAATAGCTGATTTACAAGACAGTATGGTAGTTTCTCAAGAAATTAGGCGTAAATTTGCAACACAACCTAGTAATTCCACTTATGTAATCAAGAAGACTGGCAGGGCGTGGTGGTGAACACTGTTGAAACCCACCATTTTGGAGACAGGCAGTTGGACC